AAATCTCTGACAGTAAAATAGATCCTGTTGGAACATCCATGGAAACTGCTGGTAGAATCCACAACATGCTAGCAAACCTCGCCATAGTTCCTTTGACTCAGCAAACATACATTGAGTGTCAGGCACCATGGAGATCAGGGGAGTACAAATACGAAGAAGACGGAAATCTATATTTACAAAGAGCTCACGCTTTGTTTACCGCAAGGGTGATGCCATCCCCTAGAAGTTCTGGAAATTTGTGGGGGATTTCTGTTGTCACGCTGCGTGCTGCTAGGTGTCCTGGCTGATCAAGAATAACCTCAGGATCCACACACTTTCACTTGTCCTATTGACAACTGATAGAAGTGATCTGAGTAAAAGACCTAGTTAGCATTATCTGAGCCTGGATTCTAATTCCATTTATTATGGACACAGAGTGGTTTTGGCATGCTTTTTATATATACTGAATTGTCCAAGAATTCAACAACATAAAATTAGACAGAAGGTTGTACTTTATGAAAACCTTCAGTAAGATTTGTTCACCATTTCAGAAAGTCACAGTACCCAAACCAACACTGATCATGGCTTTGAGCCCCAGTGTGACACATGTGCTCCAGTCTTTCTTCCTAATGGTCTGTTAGTGGCATTGGACATAAAGCTGCTAACATATCACTACTTCATTATGCCTTCGAGTAAAGCTTGTTTTATTATAGATGACTTTATTTCTCCTTTATAGTATAGTTGTGCTGGTATATTGAGTTTTAAAAAATTATGTATATAGGTAAAATATATGCACTCTAAATTTCATTTCAGGAAAGCAAGGGAGTTGTTACAAAGGATTGATTTTAAAAGTGCGATAAATAAATAAGTAAAGAAAGAAAGAAAGAAAGAAAGAAAGAAAGAAAGAAAGAAAGTAAAAGTGCATGAAAGAAGTCTGATATGATTGAGAGCTAATGCCCTACAAGGTAAAACATACAAATACATTGATAATTTGGGCATCTCTACTGTATAGAAGCAACATAAG